TTAGTTGCTTGCAAATTTTTTTTCGTCACAAATGACAGCAGTATAATGAAAACTGTAGTTATTGATAACAGGTCAGCACATTATCATGACCATTAATTGGTTCATTAATGTACTTGTATGTATACCACAATACAGGCGACTGTTTAACCTCTTCTCATATACAGTATTCCTGTATAACATTGTTACTGGACTGTTTACTGCCGTCATGAGGCTAATGTTTTCAATATTATTCATGATACTTATACTGCCAAGAATGGACCTGATACTCTATGTTAAAGGATTTGAGAGATTCGATTTAAGTCAGCAGCATAGCCTTTCAACAGCACCATTATAGTTATTACCAAGAGTAGATGATAGTTATTACCATATGCATGACACTTATTGATTTGTGTTGGTATTATTTAGTTCACTCCATGTTTAAAAATTTCATGACAATGGAGGCCTTGCTGCACAATCCAATAGTTCACACTTTTGTGAATATGTTGAGTGATGATGTCCCTAACTTACACAGCAAAGGAACTAATTCTGGTATGCACTATATGTATCATTGTATAACTGATTGCTGACATTGTTTCTATAGAACTTGGTCATCGTAGAACCTCATCTCCTCACAGGGTTTCTCGTAAAGCATACAATCGTTGGTTTGTTGCATGCACACTGATCAAGAACCCTTCACTGAGGAAGAACCATGTCTCTGAGGTTAATGTCTACGATGAATTTGAGATTACAAAGGAAGAATTTTGACTTAATAATTAATTAGCATAGATTCCTATAAATTTTTAATTAGATAAGCTAGAACAAGAATAATGGTGTGGTTAATTAAATTAAATTAGTTTATTCATTAGATTTATGATTTTGTTTGGATAAGGTTGGACTTGGATCATGTCTACCGCTGCCTCCAGTTCTGCCATCGTTCCTACAGACAACCCTGTCCTTTCTGGAAATCTCTTTTCTGATAAGTCAGTAGTATTATTCATTTCAGATCTAATGCCGTTTCTTTGTTTAGCGCTGTCGTTTTGTCTTCTTTTGCATTGTTTGGAATCTCGGTGAGTTATGCAGCTGTAGCTTCATTTAAAGTAGTCTAGCAACAGTGAACAGCACATCAGGCCCTAGCTCAAAGGGTCTGACTGCTATACTATATCCCAACTGAGTTTGACCCAAGAAAAACTGGAATAACTTTTTATAGGAATGTGGGATAAGGATGAAACTTTCACAGGTTCTTAGTCGCCTGATGCCATCACAGGATCCCAGGTCTTGGGTCTCTCAGCCCCTGGGAACCCTGAGAACCGGGTTCTCCCTATAAACCCAATGGCATACCAAAATGACGTTTTATGACAATTTATCTACGTCATAGTTTACATAAGAACATGTGGTCGAGCGCCCAAACTGATAATTCTTCTTTTTAAAAGCTAATAGAGCAAGATCTTCTGATAATGATTGCCTGTATAAAGACTAGTTGACTCCAGCAGCTATTGTACTGCTTATCAGAACAAACAAAACCTTTTAAAGAGTGCAATACGGGCCAACTACGCAGCTGTAAAATGTCGGTCATGCTTCTATGAATATCATTATAAGACGTCATTGACGTATACCTACATTTTTCAAATTCCAAGCGGCTGGTGTCAAACTCAGTTGGGATATAGTATATTATGACCAGTGCAGTATGATGGGAGGGGTGGTAGGATTTTTTCAGACAGGCCCTTCTACCCAAATCATCCCTAATTTTTAAAATTGCTTATATCTACTGGTAGTTTTGTCTCTTTCTACTTGATTAGGCTCTAGTTTGGGTAATACTTAGTTTCCTGCAAAGGAGGACCAAGAAGTGTCTGGGTTGCTGTGGTGGGCGGCCGGGAATTGTTTTGTGAGTCAGTAATAACGATATTCATCAGTTCCCAATAAGACTACATTTACTTGTTCCTGATATATATATTATTACAATATTCACAAATCTACTGTATAGTCTTAAGGCCTTTTCACACTGGCACAATTTTCAAAGCGCTTTGATGCGCTTTGTTGGCACAGCTGAAATAATGCTGGCACAGCTGAAATAATGCTGGCACAGCTGAAATAATGCGCATTGATCTTGTTCACACTAGCAGCTGAATTAAAGCCCCGTTTACACTATGTCCTTAAAGCGGTTTGGAACCGGTTAGAAATAAATCAGTTTACGTGTGGACAATTTCAATGCAGTTTGAAACAGACTTATCTAAACCACCTCATGAGGTGGTTTGAGATAATCAAACCAGTTTAAGTACTGAAGCAGCTGTATTATGTATGCAATGTAGCATTGTAAACTGATTCAACCACAGTTAAAGGAGCACGGACACGGAAGTGCATGCATGCTATGGCTTCACGTGCGCAAGCAAGAATACGGACTAATAAAGGGTGTGGCATTGCGAGCCATGTAATACAATGGATTCTGGATCTTCAATTGTAAGTGTCTCCACAGTGACTCCTTTTGATACATACACTTACTGAAGGATTTCTAGCATTATGATGCTCAGCACCAAGCCTGAAGTCCAGCAATATTTCTTCGTAGGTGAACTTTGACGGTCGCCATTTTGTCAATCTCACGTGAGCTGAAACACTACGTCATCTTGATTATTTGGTCTAAAAATCAAGATGACGCGCTTCCGTGTCCGTGCTCCTTTAAGTGTGGACACAATTAAGCTGGTTTCTGAACCACTTTGATCCAAACTGGTTTGTAGTGTAAATGGGGCTTTTGTATCATTTTGTGTTCTTGTTGCCATTGGTTTACATTGATCGAAGCGCATCACTTCACATCAATCCACCTCTGGAGGTGAAGTGAGAGTGATGCACATTAATTCAAAACCACTATAGTGTGAACATGATTAATGCGCATCAATGTGCATTACCTTGGCCAGTGTGAAAAGGCCTTTAATCTGTTCCTTTGTATAAAGAGTAACTGTGTAATCTTCTGATTATCAATTCATAATAACTAGTTGATGTAATTGCCTTTTCCTTCTTTCTAGTCCCATAAACTTCCTTAATCCTCGGCACAGGCTTGTGTACGTATTAGCTTGTGGTGCACTGGCCTCAACTTGGTTCCATGCTTTAAACACTGGAGACTTCTCTGATGTCAATAAGTGGGCTGCCAGCATCGTTAAGAGTTAATTAAATTGTTATTGTCATGATAGTTTATATTATGTACTGTAGTTCTTTCTGTCATATTTTTATTATCTTTGGAAATATTTATAACATTCCCACTCCTGGCCTGCGTTGAGACACCTGTCCCTATTGTTGGGTATATCTTAGGTGCAATCTACACTGATGTACTGTGAGTTTATATTGCATTTATAATGTATTTTGCTATTTATAAACTATTTTTAGTTTAGCATCAAGGATATATGTGACTGTGGATGTCATACAGCAGCAAGATGTTGATGGCTTTCCGGAGGACTTTGTGACTTTGCTAGTCAGTTTATTTATAGTTTAAATGTTATTCTTTGCTGCATTAGCTATAGCAAGAGTATATACTCTTGGCTATAGTTTATAGTTGTTCTTCTCTTGTTTGTTTTTAGTATAGCAAATACGTTGTCTCATTTCTGCCTCAGCTGGTTTGCATTACTGCTGTCTTGGTGTGGTATCATTACAAAATCATTAAAGAGATGTTGAGAATATGTAGAACTAATGGAACTTGGACACATGCTGTGAGTTGAAACAAGGATAGTGTTTTATTATGACCTTCGATATAACGTGAATGTATATATTAATGCATGTGTCACTGTTTTGAAATCATCCCAAATTAGGCCACGTTTACACTACTCCGTTTTCATTGGAAAACGGAGACTTTAGGCCTTTTCACACTGGCACAAGTAATGCGCATTGATGCGCATTAATCGTGTTCACACTAGAGTGGTCGTCCCTAAAAAACGGACCGGACCGGACCAACGGACCATGGTCGGCGACAAATCTGTTTTACAAACCCGAATGGTCCGCGACATCTCTATTTTACGGACCACTTTGCTCACTATACCGGTAATCTTATAGATGCTAAAAATTATAGCTAATGCTTAGGTCAAGATTTACTCTTGCTGAAATCCTGCTTCTTGGTTAGATATAAGCCCAAACCTTCAGATATTGCGAATTTAACAAATTTATTCATGAAGCAACTATGTAAAGCCTGAGCCTGGTACTGAGTACTGAACTTGGATGTTGTGCAGTGACTAGTCTACAACTATGGTTTAAATATCTCAATATCTCTTACTTATTTGTGTCACTGTACAGCTTAATGTGGCAAGCAAATCTTGTTCTGAATTCAGTGGAAAAACGGTTACAAATTAGATATGTAATAATAATTGCAACTTCTTTGTCAATGACCACATATGTTGGTACAATTATTGTGGTTGATCATTTTATGCATGAATAACTTTAAAAATTTAAGTCTATACTTGATAACATAACATGCAGTGTATGTGAAATGTATGCATGCAATAAAGATGAATACCACTGAAATAATTATGGCCCAGATATTTGTAATGATTATATTCAAGAATTTACATGCACCTTTAATTCATAATAATTATGCAGAATTTTAAATAACAATAACACAAAAACTTTGGTACTTATATCTATCACTGCATAAGTGAACTACACAATCAAAAGATATTACAAGTGTTCATGCAGTTAATTGGTATAATCTGTACTGTCAATACTAATCACTCAAGATCTCCAGCCTCTGACATTATACTACTGAGTGATACCACTGTGCTGTATTTTTTTGTAAACTTCTGTTTAGACTGGTATATTTATTAACTATATTTTATTCTGCTAATTTCATTTATCCATTTAGTAGTTAAGCTTACTCTGACGCTTGGTATTATTCACTAGCTTATTCTCACTAACATCATTGCTATAAAGATTATTAAAATTTTTACTACATAATATTAACAAGAACTACTTTTGGGATCAGTTCCAGTATTATTATTATTATTGTTGATTTATTTTGCATTAGATTCAGTTAATTATCATTATTATTATCATCATTACTACCGTTTTAATTTTGATTGTATTTTTACTTTTTCTTATTAGTTTTTTTTTTGTTTCTTTTTCTTTCTTTTCTCATCTTTTTTCTTTTTCTTTCTGGCTGGCCATGTTTCCTTGGTCAGGCCTTTGGTGTTTCTTTTTATCTAGCCTCTTAGCTCTATTCTCATTGCCGGTCACTGTAAAGTTTAAATAAATTAATTAATACATAAATTGCTGATGCATGAATATAACAATTGATTATTATAGTCTACAAGATATAATATTATTATTAGTTTTGAATAAGTGGAAAATTAATTCAAGTTGATATTACAGACTTTATCAATACAATAAACTACGGCCTCACTGCATTGTATAAGTATTATGACTAACCAGATAGTATATCTATCTCCATAGATAAAAATTATATTTGTTACTGAAGCTCTGTATGTTGTCTAGGCCATCATGGAGTTTGCTAGCATCATAAATACTGATGCTAGCATATATATCTATGCTCTAGGTCGGTCAGGTCCGTGGTCATTAACGCAGAGTCCGTACTTTAATCTTTTCGGGTCTATTGGTCGGGTCAATAAATTAGTTTGTATCGGGTCCATCGCTCGGTCCGTAAATTAGTCTTTTCGGGTCCGTTGGTCCGGTCTGGTCTGCTTTTTAGGGACCACCACTAGAGTGGTTTTGAATTAATGCGCATCAATGCGCATCACTCTTGCTTCACCTCCAGAGGTGGATTGATGTGAAGTGATGCGCTTCAATCAATGTAAACCAATGGCAACAAGAACACTGTGCCAGTGTGAAAAGGCCTTTTTAGTCACGGATACAGGTTTCGTTTACACTAATTAAGGCCTTTCTACACTAGCACTTGTAATGCACATTGAGCATTGACTTCAATGCTCATTAAGCCAAACCACCTCCATATGTGGTTTGATAGATAACCAATGGCAGCTGGATCAGAAATGCTATCAAAATGTACATGATCTTGAAGATAGTGTGGAATCACTTGATGGCATTCAATGCACATTATCAGCCGACTGGAACCGGTGCAAGTGTAAGAAGGCCTTAAAACACATGAAAACGGATACTTATCTGGAGACATTTGAAAACTAATACCTAAGCAGATACTTCTATATAAGGAATGATAAGTTCCAATGAAAACGCAGCTGCTGGACTAGTGTAAACACCTGAAAACAGTAATAGCAATTTAGCAAAAACTATTCGGATTCAGTGGAGCGGAGTAGTGTAAACGTGACCTTAATATTAGATTTTTCTGATTCATATCTTTATGCTATTTAGTAAGTTTAGGCTAATTCTGACCAATTTTTTTTTAGTTATGAACGTTAAAAAACAAGCCAATTTTTGAAAGAAACAAAGGCTATAGCCTATGGTTTTTCCTAAAAATGGCTCCGAAATCACCCCAAATTTTTGTTATATTTTCTGATGCATGTTGATGTCCTTATGCTATC